GCAAAAACCAATCACAAACACATCCACAAGTGCCAAAGAGCACAGATCTCTGTTCACAAGCTTCCAAACCAATCATAGACCCACAGGATTCAAATCTATGCAATCCAGAGACACAAAACACAATAAAACATTGTCTGACAGACCAAAAGGTTTGAACCTCTGCCACCTGTAGCACCATGCATCACAAATACCTCAAAAACTCAAGATGATACCCTTCAGACACCACTCTCTTATTCTCAGGTTAGAGCACAATCTAAAACCTCTTATCAAACTGAGCTTAAGTCCTTCATGAGCTTCAATGCCTCACTTAATTCTCACAGCTCTCTCAAAGATATTCAATAATACATTTATTCTCTTACCCAAAGTTACTAACACAAACCCAGAGCTTAGAGTGCAAGGCTTTCTGTGCCCAATACACTGCAACTGTAGAGGTCGGAAACTTGTCCTCTACTCATACAATACCATATTTAAATACTCTACTATGATACTTACTAATACAATCCTACTATGGTATCCTCAAAGTGCAAGACTCTGTGCCAGATCCTGCAGGTATTATTCACATGCATATCACAGTCACCACACTTATTCTCTTCTGGACAAGGACTGTGCCCACTGTTTCTTCACTAGCTGACATCAGCTAGCTGGCCTCACTAGGTCTGCTCACTTTCTTATTTCTCCAGTGACATCTCTAACAGCAGTAAACTGTTTCAGACCCCTGGAGTTATCTCTCATGCTAGGAGTCAGCCACAATGGCTATGTTCTACTTTCCTATGTCCAGCCAGTCATTTTATCTGACTCACCAAAGGTGCTATTTCTCAGTATGATGCAGAGTCCCTCACTGTGTTATGCATGCTAAGGCACTGTAAGTATGTGCATAAGGCTCAGAGCAGTATATGCATTATTCATTTCTGAGGTAATATTCCTCTACTTATTACTTTGTTGTCATCATTCTATTTCTCTATTCAATACCCATTTACTCAGATATCTTTCTTTGAGCCTCAGTTCTCTGTTCTAAAGCATGTCCCATCAGTGCATCAATGGCTGTGCATCTTTGATCAATATGATCAGAATTGCTGATCATATTTCGATCATAGTCTTTTTATTTTTAGCATATCCTCTCATAATAGTATTGGTGCATTCAGGGCCAAGTGCTGAGATGTCACATGCAGCCTAACCCCTCTGGTATTAGTCTGTTACTAGGCCATGCACTCTGCTTATTGTTACTTCAGTTTAGCATTATGATAGCTAGGTTTCTGTGTGCTCTAGTCCTATTTTCTGTTATATGCTTACTGGACTGGAATGCAGTCCATGTATTCGCAATTTTTGCAATTTTACATGCCTGAACATAGAGAGAGCATGTCACCAATAACTAAATGGAGTGCATCAATCAAGAGATTGAAAAATATCTTCAAATATTCATCAATTACTGACAAGACAATTGGACAGAGTGGCTAGCACTTGCAGTCTTTCAACATAACAACTGAGTCCATTCTGCCACTGGTAAAACACTATTCTTCATAAACTATAAATGACACCCAAACATATCAAAAACCACATAAATTCATATGACCACTTCTGCTTCCACAGACTTCACTGCCAGTATGGCAAAAATTCACATTGAAATAGAGACTGCCTTCCAAAAGGCCACCAACACAATGAAATCCTAATATAATATACATAAACTCTCCACACACTCATACCATGTAAACAACAAAGTTTGGCTGGATATCACAAACCTACATCTACTATGCCCTAAACAAAAACTCAACAATAAATGTACAGGCTTCTTCACAATTACAGCAAAGATCAGAGCTTCTGCATATAAACTCTGACTCCCACAATATTAGTGAATCTATAATGTGTTCAATAAAGCCCTGCTGACTCCATTCATTGCTCCTGTGTTCCTAAATCAAGAATGACCACCACTACCATCACCACCAGATCTGATTGATGATAATGAACATTATGAAGTCAATCAGATACTAAATCACAAGACCCAATGAGTCAAAGCTCAAGGCAGAGGCATGAAAACAACTGTTGACTATCTAGTCAGCTGAAAGGGATACAGGCCAGAATCAAACCAATGAGTAAATGAATGACACATGAATGCTAATGATACAATCTATGACTACAAACTATCACTAAATTGACCACAATAATGGTCAATGTCTTTATAAATCTATAAAGAAGAAAGGCAGGTTATCTGCATCTGGAATCTCTAAACTTATCCTTAATTTAAGCTATCAGGACAATAGTCTTAAGAAGAGGGTAATGTTATAATTTTTTCACTTTTTCCTTCATTTCTTGGATATTAACCTCTATTTATGCTTAGTCAGGGCACTTAGGCCAGCACTTAGAACTATGGGACTACACTAGGACCATGCAAATGTTTTGATCAGTATAGCCCTTTATGATCTGAAACACAACACTGCTTCAATGCAAGACAATTAGCCTATTGTAGATAACCATGGCACTTAAGAACAATGAGTATTATAGCACAGACACTTACAATTAGCAGTACTATATTTATCAGAAAGACAAATGGTATATAAGTAGCATAGTTAATGCCATATATCCCTAGTCTCAAACTATTCTTTATTTTACCACTTTACCTCGAGTCAACTACTTGTATTGATCTTGGAACATAACATCTACAAACACATCAAATAGACTTAAGCATGATTGTACAAACATGATACAGTACTTATTTATCACATGTTATAGAGCATATGTCACTCAGACCTAACAGTTGTAATGATATTGATGGCAGACATTTGGTTTCCTTCACTCATGATAGGCATAAGGAAAGGGAAATAGAAGTCTCAAACTAATTGTTAGAGCCAAATGACATATGTCCAATATCACATGGTAAATAGACACTGTATCACATTCATACAATTATGCCTAAGTTCAAATATATGATGTGTGTGGATGTTATATCTCAAGGTCTATGTAAGTAGACTTGAGTAAATGGATATGATAAAGAATAGTTCAAGACTAGGGATACATGACACTGTCTACACTACTTATATACCTCTAGGTCTGTTGCTAAATATACTACTACTAATCATGAGTGTCTGTGCTATAGTACTTGTTGTCTTAGTAAGTTGATGTTATTTACAAGAGGTCTGTTGTACTATTGTCAGGGCATTGCTACAAGTTGAGAGACAATGGCTGATTGCACTGACCAAGCCTGTCCCATGGTTCTAAGCACTGATATAGATGCTTTGACTAAGCATAAATAGGGGTTAATACTGTGAAAATGAGAATAAAAGTGGAAAAATTGTAACAGCCTGCTCTAAAGCAATTGGAGATAATTGTCTTGAAGAGGGGGTAATGTCATGATTTTTATCTTTAATCATGGCCCACTGATGCTTAATAAGCTGACACTTATAAATCTCTGACCAAACCCAACTATGAGTCAATCTAGACCATGGAGAAATCTTGTGATAATCAGATAGAGCTATAGATGATGAGACTATGACAATACAATAACTATGCTTTACTCATTGATACACAATAGACACTCAGAAACAGCATGTCAACAGTCACTATCTCATGTCTTCTTCATAATAGTGTTGGTCATTGAACAAAGTAAATAAGGCACTGAGAACATTCATTGTTCTTACTGCCTATTGTTTTAGATTATTGTATCTTTTTAGAGCAGTGGCAATTAGTGCCACTGAGACTGATCTAGTATATAAGTAGAGTACTTTTCATACAGATGCCTCAGTCCATTATGCTATGACATACAAAAGACTGAGTTTATCTACAGACTGGATTCTAAAAAATAGGTACTATGACACTTGATAAACTCACTATAGCAATGGCCTAACAGAACAACAATGATGCCTGAAAGCAAGAGTGCAGTCATTGTCACTCAAACAATGAGTAGGAGATATGGAAACCAGACAATAGTTGCTTGTAGAATGAAGAGCTCTCTAGACAGTATTTAAGACAGTAGCATACACTGATATACCTCAGTTTTGAGCTAAGGTTTAATACATCTACTAAACTCTCTAATCATCTGGTGTGACTATTTCTGCCAACTTGACAGATATACTCTATCAGCCATCTGAACTCATCCCTTTTATCATCATCATCTATTTCATCATTCTCATCATTCTTCAGTATCAACAACAGCACTCAGAAGCAGACCTTGATGGAAGTGGTGCCAGACATTTGTGATTGTTTGGTAGTAGCATAACAATCTCCTGAACTTCTCAGTTAGGTAGAAATTACTAGAATAAGTGTAGATTAGCATAAATATAAAAGTCAATGGGCAAACTCCTCAGGAGTTTGTAACTCAAAGACTAAAGGTCTGTAAGCATTGTACTGAGGTATATCTTATCTACAACACCTTGGTCTTTTGGAATCAATCATCCAAGCTCTCAGCTGCTGGTCATTAAAGGCCTGGACCACTTACATTTGAGAACACCCTGCATTAATCCATCACCTTGAGCATCTTTTACTTGCAGCCCATTCATATTTCCTCAAACCACCTCCATCCTCCACACTCATCATCAGCATTATAGCTGTTTGTATGCTATAATGGATCAAGGGGCTCAGTGGGTCCCAAGCCTCTCTTTATAGCTATTTGTCTTTCTTATCTCAAGTGAGCTGTAGAGGCAAGGTATCGAAGTCATCAACAGGTGACTGCTAGTAATGTAAAAGTTTAGTAAAAGTATCGGGCCGTAGGCCGACTCGTAACGCAGATGCACGGATGTTGCCGCTTGCATTAATTATTTGACATGAAGGTATATATAAGTGTAACCTTGACTTTGGCCACTCTGACCGACACGTTGAGCACATACTAATTGCCTAAATTGTCGTAGCCTGTTCAGAACTGTTTGAGCACTTGTCATGTCGACATACAACTGCTTGGGTATGTAGTTCCCGTCTTTCGTTCACCGACTTTCCCAATGTTACAACAGAATACCCATACGCGAACAGCGTCATGTCTGAGGAATACGTTTCCTGTCGAGTCGCATCCACCGACGGGCATCTTTTACGTCAAGGTATGCCTATTTCCTCCAAGATATGTGCGCCTGTTTCCACTGTCTTTTAGGCTACATCGACAAGTGTGGTGCCTCTACCTCCACGTACCACCACCCCGTCAAGTCTGTTGCTGCCAGTACGTGCCGCGGCCCTTCTTCATTTCCTCGACTCCGTTTCATTGCTCTCCTAGTCCCCTTGCACCTCCCCTTTCCTCCCAGCATTATCACGGCCCAAACGCCGTGCGACGTCGACAGTACGTCTCTGCTTCACATTTTCAAATGACCTGTCTCATCACAAGGTGCAGAACCCTTTTCTTGGTCCCAGGAATACCCAATGTCCGCCGTTTCGCCACACTTCTCTCTTGACGAAATGGGAGCCTGGTCTCCCTTCATTTCACTATCCTCCGAGATGACCCCAGATCGTGAGTATGGTATCTGTGCTGAGATCATGTCACCCTTCTCATAGAGGTCTTGTAGTGCTCTTCTCCTCGCCTTCAGCATCGGACGACTGTCCAAACGTGTTTGACATTCAATTCGGACGTTCCTTGCATCAGCAACAAAAGCAGCGGGAGCGATCTCAAGAGCCACAGCCCCCACCCCAATTCCCCGAACAGGTCTCCCCTCCTCAACTCCGAACTCCACCGACCGTCACCAAGTCCAATATTAAGACTTCTCCATCTTCTCAAGAAAACGCTTCCCCACGCCGCCGCCACCCATGCCTCATCCCCGGATGCCTGAGGCGTTTCACAAGTCAGTATACGCTCAAAGCACATATGCAGGCACACAAACCCAAGCCTCGCGTATCGTTCGTATGCACGCTCGGTTGCGGGGAGCGGTTTTCTAGACAACACGATCGGCTCAGACACGAAGTGGCGAAGCACAACAAGGTCTGCGAGTTTTCGTGCGAGGCATGTGGGCGGTTTTTCTCCATGGCCAAGACGCTGGGCAACCATAAATGTCCTGTAGCACAAGGTGGAACGAGATGGGTCAATAATTAGCGACGATTCTCTTCTTTTGTGTATTTTTAGGTGCTTTCGGGTGTGCACAGATGGAACAAACGCTTTCGAACTCTTGTCATGTGTTTGCCTCGCAGTTTGTGCGTATACGATGCACAGGACGCCACATTCAACGTGAAAGGTGACCTTACTACTACGGGTATTCCATTATGAGATGGGTGTCATCAAGTCTGACAATACTTTTTACTTGGTTCCCCTCATCCGCTTCTTCTGATCCAAGACAGCCTTTCTCAGACGTATCGCCTTGGGGGTAACTTCTACAAGTTCATCATCAGCCATATATGCAATACTCTCCTCAAGGGACATGATTCTCGGACTCGCGATGACAAGCTTCTCATCCGCACCTGCCGCCCGGATGTTGGTGAGCTTCTTCTTCTCGCAAGGGTTCACGTATAAATCTGATGCCTTGGAACATTCGCCAATGACCATACCGGGATAGACGTTGGTCGTTGGGTGAATGAACATGATTCCGCGAGCTTGCAGAGGCGCGATGGCGTAGGCAGAGGACTCGCCTAGGGACATGGAGATGAGAGAGCCGTTGCGTCCTGTGTCAATGGAGCCCTTGTACGGCATGTAGCCTAGGAATATGTGGTTGAGAGTACTGTATTTAGATTCAGCAAAACGAACAACAGAAACGATCCGGATCTTACCCTTCGCCATGGACATCGTTTTTAAATTCTCCGGCCATATAGCCAAGCAGACCACGAGCAGGTACCTCCATCTCAATCCTCATGAACCCTGGCTCTGCCGGCTCGTAGTTTTTCATCTCGCCTTTCCGCATTGTAAGCTTTTGGATGACCGTACCCGCCCACTCCTCCTTGACGATTATAACGCAATCCTCGATAGGTTCCAGTTTCTGGCCGGGGTTATCCGGATCAGGAATCATAACAGCCTTGGGCGGGCCAATCGTAAACTCAAAGCCTTCACGACGAAGCGTCTCAAAGAGGACACCAAGATGTAAAACGCCACGACCACGGAGTTCCAACGACTCAGCTGTCAAGCCGGGTAGAACGCGTAGTGCAACATTAGTCTCGGCCTCACGCAGCAGACGTTCACGAATAACCTGACTGGTCAATTTGCTGCCTTCCTTGCCAGCCACTGGACTGTCGTTGGGGTAGATACGGACGGAGATCGTCGGAGGGTCGATGGGAGTTGTCTTGAGAGGTTTAACGTCCTCTCCTGGGCTAACGAGACTGACATTGACGCCGCCGATGCCTGCCTGAATCTTTATACCAGCAATAGAGACGATCTCCCCTGCAGCGGCGACATCGCGCTCCACCCTCTCTAGACCAGCACGAGAGAATATCTTCTTGACTTTTCCTTCCCCGACTTTGCTGCCTTCTGCATCGAGCGCCCAGAGTGTGTCGCCCACGCGTAGCTGACCTGACTGTATGCGCCCTAGATAGAGCATTCCAACATATGAGTCGCTTTCTATCTGAACGGTGAGCATGGAAAAGGGACCGTCAGAGGAGAGATGTGTTGGAGGCGGGACCTGGGAGAGGATCAAATCAAAGAGTGGTTCCATATTGCCGTTTGTCGGGGGCGGTGGGGGTTGATCAAAGGTAGCCCAGCCCTCCTTTGCAGAGGCATATAGGACGGGGTACTCCATCTGGTCGTCGGACGCGCCAAGGGTTGCAAAAAGGTCAAAGAGGTCGCTCTCCACCTGAGCGGGACGACTGGTGGGACGGTCAGCCTTGTTGAGTACTACCAGAGACCTAAACGAGTCAGCTAGAGCACCGAGAAGATGATGAAAAGACAGACTTGAGTCCCCTTGCTAATGCTTTGCCTAATACGAAACGAGTCTGTGTCATTGGTCCCTCTGTAGCATCCACGACGAGCGCTACGCCATCGACCATACTGAGAACACGCTCGACTTCTCCTCCAAAATCTGCGTGACCAGGCGTATCTACAATGTTTATGAGATTATCGCGGTATTTGATGCTAGTACACTTGGACAGAATGGTGATGCCGCGTTCCTTTTCGAGATCGTTCGAGTCCATGACGCGATCCGTGGGTGGTTCATTGGTGCCTACAACGGCAGAGGGAGAAAGGGTACCGGACTGACGAAGGAGCTGGTCAACGAGCGTAGTCTTGCCATGGTCGACTGAAAAAAGGTCGCATATAGTTGGCGTAATAACTGGCAGCACGTACCATGGGCTATGATAGCAATATTCCGTATGTTTTCAGTGGCATAACAGCGCCGAAATGACAGAGAAAAAGGCCTTGCGATTACAGGCAACCGCAGAAAGGCATTTCGAAGCATTTGGGGGGTCAAAGGCAAGGGAAATATTAGTCAGCAGATCAGCTTGGAGTCGTACCACGATGAGCTCTCTTCGGTCTGTGAAGCGACGACGAGTAATGTCAGGCGCAGATGGCTTTGCAATGCCAGAAAGCAAACCAAGCAAACTGGCTACACCTCGATTCGAGTCGGCATTCGAGACGACGAAATCTGCGACGTCAAAGAGAAATAAAACAGCAGCAGTACCACCTCCAATAACTTCGAAGCCACGTTCGAGAGCCAATCCATTCGCGTTTGTTGTCGGACCATCTCCCGGTACAAAGCTCAAGCCGCTTCAGCCTCCACCCCCCCCATTCCAAGCTCCACCTACACCTTTGTTGAAACCGGCCCGACCTCCGGTACTCCCAGCCTCTTCCCCTCGTCGTCTCTACCACCTCAATTCGATTCTCAGCTCTGACCCTGCCGACCTCGCATCTGTATTCCTACATGACCTCCCAGACATATCGGATGGCGACCCAGATCTCACCCAGAGTCCTTCGAAACGAGGAAAATTCCTGTGGTAGGCTATGATCTTTCTCTGCAACTGCAGCTAACAATCTGTCAGTGGAGGGTTGGCGTCGCACGCGTCCTTACTGTTTACACGCTCCCATACCGCGTTGACTCTATGGAAATCCGACAACGACAAGCTAGAGCCAGCGATCAAGCTCGTAGTCGTATCGTTCTCTCATGACGGTATCGTGTTTTGTGAGCAACAGGCACGATTCCCACTATCAACACCACCACCCCTTACTCCTGTCCTTCTCTCTGGACTGACAGCACCGCCCAAAAACGGTCAACAGCTCCTCATTTACAAACCTTACCAGATACTGCCAGTCCCTCATCTTCATCAAATGCCCCTACTTATTTCAGCCCGATATAGGGTATCAGCATAGATATACATGTGTACAACAAAAGATAGCTATCATCATAATAGATACCATAACATAATTAATCCACTTCTTCGCTTTCTGTATTTCCTGCAGTCAGCCGCTTCTGGCTCTCGTTGAACACCGGTGCTGGGGCAGGCATTGCCTCTGCAAATGCAAAGGCGACACCGACACTCGCAGTAACTACACGCCATCGGGCGTCCTCTGCCAACACGACACCAGCTAGTCGAACCACCCACCCCGTCAATGGATCAAAACCGTCGCGTCCCCTGAATGACACCAGATACCCCACAAGCCCCGGAATAACGACAGTGGGACCCGCCCACCTCCCAATATCCATCCAAAAGGCTCGACTCCGAAACACACTTACCGTTGGATACGGCACCTCGATGCCACCGATAGCGATCCACATCCACGGCACAATAACTGCCAGCAGCACCAAAAACTCGACCAATGCGCTCAGCAGCCATATATTTGCCGAGTTTGACATCCATGACCTCGTCTTAACAAGCGTCTCTCCCTTGTTCACCTCTTTCACTCTGCGGATGACCATGGCACTCAGACCTTTGGGTGCAGAAATAATGGCTGATATAGAATCCGAACTCGATGGAAGCGGGGGAAGGGAACTTGGCGTTGGGGGTTCGACGACGGTCCGAATTTTGGTCGCGAAGGGGGTGATGGATTTGAGCATCACAGAAACTTCTCCCCTTTCTGGTGTCTCGACAATGGGGTCCATAGGTACTGGCTTCCGAGGTGATGGGGGTGACGGTTCTTTTGGTGGCGCAAGGCGAGAACTAAAATCGTTAAGCTAAGCGGGGTTTTTTTTCTTTGACGCTTACCTAGGCAGTTGAGGTTGGAGACTTGGCTTCCTAGCGACGGCTCCTCCACGGCTCCTGATACCATACAGGCCAGCATACTGAGGGTCGCCCTCGAGCACTTCCTGGTTGTTGTCCAAATGTTTCTTGATGCGAAGCTACGGAGATATTAGTGCATTCTCTATCAGCTGGTAGTAAAGGGCTAACCTGCAGTTCATCTTTCGTGCCAGTATCACTGATTCCAAGAGAGTTAGCAATATTCTGTAAATCAGCTTTTTTCTTGGACTGAAGAGAGCCAGAGAATGGTGCCATAACGGTTCTTAGATAACGTCGCGTCGTGAGTGTTGAATGCAATCAACGCAAGTCAGCCACAGCACGTTTGTCTGTATTTACGCGTTGATCACGTGCACCCGGCTCCTCCGCTTCCATCGCTACCGTTGCTTTTGCATCTTTCTCTTCTTCGTTGTCGTTGTCCTTGCAGGTTCAAGTCTCCATTTTATCATGTTTTCCATTCTTTTGTCGCTCTTTCTCGCAGGTCGAGGTACTCTTCACAACGATCTGCTTTAATTTCCAATTCTCATTTGCCTTTTCAGTTTTCGCTTTCACCTTTAACGTAACTGTGACGCCAGCGCTGGCGACCCTGGCCCCCTTACAGCTTTTGAACTTTTCGTTCACTGGCGCAATCGACTCTTGCCAGTCCCTCTGCAACGATGCGTCCACTGCATTCGCCAATTGTACTGCCTCTTCCCAGGCAGCCACTCCGGCGCCGGACCCTACCCCTGACCCTGCCTCCGACTGTCTCTGCGCCAACAGCACTGTAGTCGCCCTCGTCAGCTGCGAGCAATGCATCTTTTCTGCCCAAATCGCTGCCAATCTCCGCCCTAATGATCCTCGCGCCGGTAGTCAGCCATTGTTGACAGGTGCGCTACTTCTGTGTATTGTTGTTTCTGCTTCAATCGATATCTCGTCAGCCTATTCCGCTTCGTGCGCTGCTGCCAATATCAATCTTACCACCTCTCAAACCGCCTTGACACTCCCTGCGAACTGGGACGGACCATCCGGTATTCATCTTTCCGTCGCTGGCACCGTTTTTACAGTCATGGCAGCTACCGGCCTTGGGGGCTCGGCAATGTGGATGTTATCTAATTTGTGAGGAATGTGTATGGGGTAGCAGCGCTGCCGCCATAGTAGCCTTTTCTTTGATTCATGTTTGTCTAATGACGACAGTGGATAGAATATCTGTTTGAGAACTCGTGCTCTATGCGAGTCTGCGAACTTTCCTAGTGGGATTGCCCACTACTAGCAATGTATCTCAAGTTACGTCCAAGGTGGCTCAGAGTGATCTGTAACGGTCGCATATTACGGTGATTGATAAACGACGACCTATAAGTACTAAGTAGACGTCTGGCAACGAAACTCGTACGAAGCAGTCTGAAAGGTCGTCTAGTTCCTATTGGGGCCATATCCATGAGAGACGCAGCCTACTGGGGGTCAACGGGTCCTCGGGTGCTTAAGATACTTATAAGAGGGATCCATGGTTTTAATAATTTTACACATTGCGTACTAGATTTACGGGTCGTCACTGCTATCACTGATCCCAGGAAGGTACCGATTGAGTAACTCAGACTTATAAAATCTACCGAGAGATCCATCGGAGGAACTCAAAAGACGCGTTTGTGAGAGGGCTGAGGTGGAGGACTTTTTTGTTTACGTCTAAGAGGTGAAGGAGGGCATCCCATCTGACCACCGTTGCTTTCCCCGCTGTTGTAGATCGACGAGTCAATGGAATATCGCCATACAGTATGCGATTGATATGAAAAGCAACATTTCGACATGTTGGAGTAAAGTCGCGCATGACGTTCAGATAGTACTAAGACATTTGGCGAAGAAAAAAGAACGAGTGCATTGATGATATCGGATTTGTGAACGCAAAGCATTTTCTGAGGCGGACTATGTTATTTACATAATGGCAACGCCATCAGTAACTCTTATTCACGTCTGTTAGGAACAAAAGAACGGAGTGGGAGGAGACACACTGAGATCGATTTTGCTATTGTGAATTGAAGGGATCTCCTCGGATAACGGTCCGTAAGATGCCGGCTATGAACCTGCTTTGTCACTTGATACGTTTGTTTTACTGCTCAGCTGCACATGCCTACTGGTCTGTTGAAAATAACGAAACAGGCTAGACCCAAGTAAATCAAAGAGTCCACCTTTGCCGTAACCAGGTCCAGATATAGCCATGAACGCCAAGGAAAACGAATCGTCAAGGCGTGATTCTAACAGCGATTTATTCAACTCGGACCTAAGTCGCTCTCGCAAATGCCGGTGGTCTTCCGAAGGCTTCCTTCATGACCTTCTCCCGCCTCTTCCCAGTAGCCTCGTTCAGCCTATCCAGCATCTGCACCGTTGCCTCCCAATCCACGCACGCATCCGTAATACTCACACCGTGCTTCAGACCGTGTGGTCCCTCGGGAGGTACATCCTGTCGGCCATCCTTGATATTACTCTCTATCATCACGCCTGTGATATTTTTCTCTCCTTCCTCCAGCTGTCTACACACGTCTTCTAGCACAATCGGCTGATTTTTATGATTCTTTTGCGAGTTCCCATCTAAAATTACGTTGGTTCCGTGTCCAAGAGAAACAAAATGAAGTACTTACGACTACAGTCAATCATAATGCTCGCAAACACGGTTTTCCTTTTCTTTTCGATATCAGCTGCCGCTTTTCTCACGTACTCCGTCTTGTAGTTAGGCCCCCCACTCCCACCACGAAGAATAACATGCACGTCTTTGTTTCCCTTGGTTTTGACGATGGCAGCGAGACCCTGCTCAGTGACACCCATGAACGCATGCGGATTGCTCGACGATTGCATTGCATCAATGGCAACACCTATGCTGCCATCTGTTCCGTTCTTGAATCCGATGGGAAAGGAAACACCACTAGCAAGTTCTCGGTGAAGTTGAGATTCCGTTGTTCGCGCACCAATAGCACCCCAGGAGATCACTGCAATGCATCACTTCATCAGATGGACGGTTACACAGGGAAAGGAATTTCAATACTCACGATCAGCAATGAACTGCGGTGAGATCGTATCCAATAGCTCACTCCCGACTGGAACGCCCATATCCGTAAGGTCGCACAAAAGCTGCCTTGCGATTCTCAGGCCTTTGTTGATTTTGAACGTGCCATCGATATCCGGGTCATTGATCAGGCCTTTCCAGCCCACCGTGGATCGCGGTTTTTCGCTAAACCGTTATGAGATTGGAACCAGTCCCGACGTGTCAGCTCACAAGTAGGCCCGCATGATAATGTGCAGGTTATTCCACTTGGGAATGTGTTGCTTGAGCAAAGTTGCATACTGGAGGGCCTGTTCAGCAGAATGGATTGAACACGGCCCGACGATGACAAGTATTCCATCGTCTGAGCCAGCCAGGATCCTGGCAGCGGTGAAACGTGCAGACGCAATGGTCTTTTTGGCTTGTGCAGACGAGACTATTTCGTGTCGCAGCAAGGCTGGTTGTACGAGGGGATCGTACTAATACTGGATGAGAAGGGAGAAACCTGGGTAAAAGAGAGATGACTCACTCCTACGACCCTTCTGTCCTGAATGTACTGTTGTACTTTTGTGTCGTCCTCAAAGTCAGGGTTGGGGGTAACGTCGTGCATATCTTTGGGTATGGCTACCAGCGAGAAAAGATGAAATAAATGAAGGGAGGAAGAAGGGAGATACTAACGGAAACGAAAGGAACGGGCCTCTTTTATAGCAGCAGCCTGCATGATGTATTGACGTGTCTAGATGGTGATGGCCGTGAGATGAGATGCAAAGTCCGTGACTCCAACAGGTAGTACGCCTGCTCACCAGATCCAATTAGCTCTACTAAGAAAATATTATTGTTCGATCCGGTTTTTATCCCGAGTTACTCCTTCTGTGCCAACCCAATCTGTACACAGACGTGAATCGATGAGAAGAAAGAAAAAATATGACTCGAACTCTTTTTTTGGCGGAAAGAGGGGCGGCGTGATCAATGCGAAATTGCACCACCGCACGTGACATATATCCATGAATTCTCCATCCACGACGAAAAGAGTGACCCTCTCGCCCCAGGCAGGATTTTGCATTAAATCGACCACTATCGCAGGAAATGGCAGCAATGGCATGAAAGTCTTCATCAACATTGCCTGGGATGCGAACGTGCCCTCACCACCGCCTGCCAGCGACGAGACCATCCAGCGGGCGATGCAGGGTGATGACGACGAAGGGTGGTATGTACCCGTTATCGTGTCCGAGCCAAGGGGTGACGTTGACAAGGGTACCTCCGTGTCTGTTTGCTTGTTGACCTTTTCTCATGGATGCACTTAGCCGGCAAACCCAGCCTGGTCATGGATTGCATCTACAATAAATCCCTCAAGTCGCGTGTCTTGCGTGACCCAGCGTGGAAGACGTTTCTCATCGAGCTTGCCCTCCAGCGTATTGAGGTTCAGAGCGGACTGGTTCTGTCACGACGCATCGGCACGCCCAACATCGCGTCCAAGGGCAAACTTAGCCCACGGGAGGTGACGGTGCCGGACCTCAGCACAAAAAGCAAGGAGACCAAAAAGACGTTGATAGAAGAGGTCGTCGCTGCCGGCAGCTGGGTCTGGTCCAAGTCGCCCCAGTCTGATCGTATAGACATCCAGATTACCGTGCCACGCCTGAGTCACAAGCTCATCAGTGACGCCACCCTGGACCTCGAACTGCGCCGGGTCATCTTGACTGTTCCTTCCCAACCAACCTTGGATATCGATCTTTCGGTATCAGATGCAGAGCTCGCTTCTAAGCATTCTCTCTCAGACGCCATCGCGCTCAAACGCCAGCGACCGTTCAAGGTGGATGAAGCGACAGCCGAGTGGATTGTATCGGAAGAGGTCCTAATCTTACACGCGTAGCTCCGATGGACGTGTATATAGACCTGAAATACATTCTTGAGCTCCATCACGAAATCCCCCTACTATTGTACATTTGAATGCCTGAATAAAATACATACATTTTATCGTTACACTATATATGAATAAACAACTCTCACTGCTGCTGCATACGCTTCCACAGTTCGACAGTCTCGTCCAAGCTTCTCACACTCCATCCAGTCCCAAGTGAAGTAGCCATCGCACTACCAGTCGCATGCAAGACCTCCTTGATTCCCTCGTCCAGCAATCTTGCATCAAGTGTGCCCTCCGGCCTCCCAAAGCACTGTGCGTACGCATCGCTTGCCAGCCCTTTCATGATTTGCATTACTGTCGACACAGGAACCATGTTCCTCAACAGATACCACGCGAGCCTCTCGGCATCCCCCTTCAATTTCAAGGACACCTTGCCCCCCACTGAATATGCCGCAAACATTTCCAAGAATTGAGCATCCTTCCTGATGTCATCTAGCCGCTCATCCAGCGCATGCAGAGCCCCCATCACAGTCGAATCCCTGATCAACGGTATCCTGGGGTTGTTCTCCGACCTCCCGCTGAACCTCCGGTCATAGATCCTGCTGTAAAAGTCAGCTGCGAACCGCAGGTCCTGCATCCGTAGATGGAAGTAAACGTCCCGTTCTTCCATCCGTCGATACACCCAAAGCATCAAATGTGACTGAAGTGACTGAGGTTTGCCCTGCAGAATGGAGTCATACAGTGCTGCATGACAATACGAAGTGAATAACGTCTCCTCGTCGGTGTCCCCGTCCCAGCCGTTGCCGAAATGATCAGCAAAAGACAGATACACAGGGTCATTGGAAAACGAGTTGATAAATTCACTCAGATCGCTTGCAGGATGCGACTTGGTCGTTAGCTGCGGGAAGTCCAGGATTGCTGCTTCTCCGGCTGAGCTCCTAGACCGGACGAATAAGCTCCTGCTTCCCCTCGGATCTTCCGTATAGCTTAAAAATGCTGTACGTCGCTTCACGTACAATGTCTGACTTCGCACCAGGCTCTCTCGATGCTGCCAAACGTGTTCTAGGTCCAGGTGGAATGGCCAGTATCTCGGTGTATCCACACGTATAGATATCACCTTGTCAATTTCCGGAATGAGTGTAGGAGATATCAGCTGTGTCGTGCCCATCTCGGTCCCATCCCGGACAGTTATCTTCAGCGGCAGATAAACCACCTCTTTCGTCTCCACATCTCGTGCAATTAAACACCTCGGCTCCGCTGCTAGCACCCATAAGTGTCTCAATGCTTGCAGATAGACTTTATTATCCGATGATACTTGATGGAACCGCGGATAAAATGCGATGATCATGCTCGCGATCGCAGCATCCGATGTGCCTAGAGTATACCTTCCTGCACCGAGGAAGAGTAGACCTATCGCCTGGTAAGTCGCAACGTGGATACCGTACTTGTGCGTCGGATGGTACATCGTTTGATTGAACATCCCATATGCGTAACGCAACCGCCGGAACGAGGTTATCTCCCCGGTGCCAGCCATGACCATACTCAGCGCGACCGATATCAAGTTTAGCCCGTCGCGCACGGCAGACCGCTTGATGCGGTGGTCAAAGTTGTGCCCTAGTCGCATGTTAACAAAGATCCACTCCTGTCAGAAGAACTCACCATTTTGATAAACCATCCGCGTAAAGAGGTCAAAATAGCGGATGATCAACTTATAAGCCTCCTGCCTCGCCGTCCCAGCATATTTGAGTCCCACTGCAAAGCAGCATCCAGCAATGACGTTGTAATACGCCAACTCCAGCGCATCATCAATGGCCGCTCCACTCTCGAACCGCAGCTTGATAGCTGCCCTGATCGTCTCCGGAATCTGGTTGGTGAGCCAGGTTGTTGTGGGTTCAATAGAGTCCCACAAGATCAACGACCTGGCCAACACCCTCGTAAGTAAGAAACTCGGCTGGATCGAATTCAATGCAAGGATGGTATCAGGCATCGGCAGCATATCCACAATATCCTTTCGCCCTGTTCGCAAGTACATCAACCCAAGAGCCATGGTCGCAGCAGGGCACGTCAAGTTCAGATCGAACGATGGATGACTTCCGAGACCAATCGAATGCTGCTCGTCTCCTTGAATGAGAAAATTCAGCCGCCGCACCATCTCGACGTCTGCCGGGATCATTTTACCCTTGCCTAGCATGATCAACCCAAAAGCCAGTGCAGCGGACGTCGTATACGTTTCCCGGTACTCGTTATGCAAATCGGGCTGGAAGAGGTCTTTGCGACTGATTTCTCGCAAACATACTTCAGCGTACCGCCGGTGTTTCGTCCCAAGATACAGGAGCCCCATACCTATCAAACCAGCAGATTGTGTCATCAGAGTGATGTTCAAATCAACATCCGGCGTAGGGAGCAGAGCAGGCGTATGCACCGCAAGTAGCTTCGTCACTGAAGCATTTCCACTGCCGACATTTGCCGCAGCTAAACCTAACAACAAACCGATGGAGGTTATATCATGTTTAGGCGTTAGGTACTGAAAGGTATTCCAAGCGACTATTTCCTTGAGATGACCAGAAAGCCCCAGTCCGAATAGAAAGCCTGCGTGGCTAGGCGACAAGTCGTTTGGCTTGTTGAATGCGATCCACGAACTCTCGACGCCTTTCGTTGCGGAAGATATGCGAAGACCGGCAGCGACACCATTATGGAATTCTCCCCAATGAATAGAATCCTGATGGAGCACTTTCACGTCCGGTAACACATGAACGTTGTGGGGGTGAATCCGAATAGTGTAATTGACGATAGGTATGGTATATGCCTGCCGCGAAACCTTCGACACTGAACCAAACGTGAACATAGCACGACCGTAAGCCAATGCGTTTGTCCGTTCGGCTATCCGTAGTGCTTGATGCTGAAATTCCTTGATCTGATCCGCCTCACTGTTGAAATGTGACCAGTCAACAGATATACCGAACGTTGGCATTGAAGACGTACCCTGTATCCGGCCGATCTACGAACGGCCGATAGGTTTGAATGTACGCAGAGTTCAACAGCCGGGCCACGTCTTCCAGCCTTCTGTCCTGTCCAAATCGGATGTCTGTAAAGTCATCCAGGTCCAGTTTGACACCAGATACTGCTTCGATGTCCCCAAAGGCCAGCGTCCGGGCTTCGACAATGGTTTGACTTATTGTTCGCCGTCGTCCTGCGCTTTTCTGAGTCGAACATTAGTCCTTTCCGCATTGAAACCCTTTCATCGAAACATACTATGAAATCTTTGACTGGTCGATAACCGTCTTTTGCAAGGATGTCCGGGTCATGAAGCGCAGACGCAGCAACATCTTCCCGTCCTATGGCGCGATACACAGATGGCGGCCAATGGACGGGCGGCATGAGCTGGCACGTTCTTATGGCTTCCCTCAGAGGAGATGCCAGACCCAGAGGCAATCGATCCAAGAATTCAGGGCCAATACCTGATGTCACCATGAAATAAACTGCATTTTCGGCACGCTTTTGGCTCTGAGTAGCCGTTTTGTCGGCCAGGCACTTGTATACCTCTGTGAGCTTGGCGCTAGATTCTAGTGGGTCTTTACGACCAAAAGCGAATGCAGGCCGGATATTAAAACGTGCCGTCATTCCTGATGCATCTTGCCAAGGCACTTTTGCATCCCAGCCGGGATTGCTTATTCTTCCATACAGGATAGCTGAGATATCGGGCGGCCATGCAGGGATGCGATCCTCAACGTATTCGACATCTGATGAAGAATTAGACATTGTAGTACAAGAAGAACTGTAGGCGCACATGCGCTTGACGGGTACGGCCAGCCCGGAGTATCACAAGGACATAACCGCCTCCAGTAGTCAGCCCATTCCGGACGTATTATCGATGCTATTCGACAAATGACGTCCGTCAATTCTTGAAGAGAACGATAATGATCGACAGTGAGACGAAGGTCTTCACCAAGTGTATGCAGGGCATATAACACAGGCGCAAGAAGGATGGGCCGATCCTCCTGAATGACTTCAACTTTCTCTTTGGGAGGATGCTGCTCCAATAGACGAAGTACAGGGTCATTGCGAAAACGCGCCTTAGAAGACGAATTTTCTAAAGCTATCCATGGGTCAGCTTCCTTTTCTTTACCTTTGTTCTTCTGACGCAAAGTAGCTCCACAAACAAGATATAAACTTGTCCTTAGAGCTTTGAACTCTACTACATCCATGTATCGCCTACCTTCCTTGCACCACATCAGTAGGAATATGCGATGAATGGCAAAGAAGATATTCTCTGGAAGATATAATGAAAGAATCTGAAGCACCTGAACAGTCAAGAGACCATTTGGTATCAAGTTCACGTTGATCTCCGATTTCCAGCCATCCCTATGCACAAGCGTCACCGACGACAAGAACCCGGTTTCAAGGGAGACAATCTCCCCGCGAGAATTGTCAACATCCATTCTTGAGTGGTCTGGTCGTGGCGCGTCGATGATGCTGATGGGTACTTCGTTGACTCCGAGACATAGAAGAGCAACGGAATGGTCGGGCTTCAGAATAAGCAGGTCATGCATTGCAGGGCGGGTTGAACAGAGTGAGACAAAAGAGATAGCTGGAATGGTAGAAAGTTGGTTTGCATGCATAGTGTGATCGTCTTTTTCCGAGACTGAGAAGAGCAATGAGGACCTGCTGTGTGGCAGAGAAACAGCGAGGAGAGAGCGCTCCTCGTTGCCATCCCATCGATGGTCAAAGATCGAAACAGACATTGAACGCCATGCTTTTGCACTACAGGGAGGCATGATGAGAGTCGTTCTGCGATGGAAGAACATGAAGACTCACTCAGCTTCAGGGAGATCATGGGTAGAAAGCCTTTGAGCCCAAAATGACGTTTTCATTCTCCCGGTTTCAGGTGGAAGAAATGACATGTCATCCTTCAGTCTGCCTCCCAACACCATCTTGTCGAGTGTTACACTCAAATCATGTCTATTGAGAGAATCTCTGCGTGTTTTACTAGGTGTGCCGGGCTTTGGTGGACCAACAGTCGCGGCAAGGGCTGCGGGCATCCCAGGAAGCGAGGCCAAAGGATAGATGTCAGGAAGAAAAGTGTGAATTTTGGTAGGATCGTCCAATGTATCCGCGGGAGGCTTTAAACCAGCCATAGACATAGATCGACGCTTTCGGGCACGCTCCTTCATCAGCTCACGACCAGCAGGCCGAGGCGCATCCTTGGCTTTGATGTAAGCATATCGCCAAACGGACAGTGAGTGCTTGGCCTCGTCCACAGTCACTGCAACCTGGTAAGCAGTAGCGACAGAACGATGCGACACCCATAAGAGGTTCTCGGAAGAAGGTACTGTTATTAAGTGCGAGGAAGCCTTTTCAATCTCGTCAATGAGACGCGCGGATACATCGTCTGAACCACCAATGATTCCCGCTGTTACACCAAGGGCTCCTACTTCGGTGATTGGATTAACCAAGGTGAATATTGTGGGCAAGACCCCCTCTCCAGACCGTTCAGCCTCGACAAGTTCTTGAGGGTGTACTTGTCGCTGAATCATGACACCGAAGGGTGATATAGGCCACGCTCTGCGAACGATGTATGGAACAGTGAACGTGTATCTGGTGCCATCCTGCAGAAATGCCATTCCCTTCGTGCGGAGGAACACGAAAACGGTCGGAATACGCTTGACTGTTTCTGAGTAGCCAGCAGGCTGCTCAGAGATAGCAAAGGGCCCAAATGGTGATTTCGAAGGATGGGGAACGGAGGTTGTTGGATAGGTGTAGTCTCGCAGGCCAAAATCTGTCTTGGGTGCAAACTGCTCCAGCCAGCCAAAGCATGCCCACTGGATATTCTGACGCTCGACCTCGAAATCCCATCTCTTCCTCAAGACTCCGCCAGAACTGAGTGCGGCTGAACGGTCATTCCATGTGAGCTGGAAACCATTCCAATCGTCGCCTTCTGATTCGAAATACGTAGAGTGAATGGCATTTTTTGGTTCGACAGCTGTTCCTCGCAGCGCAGCCCGCACCGATTTCAACAAGTCGGATTCTTCATAGGATGGCCGGGGCTCCAGATGCGACAGATATTGGTGGGCAGAGGAGCTGGGTAGGCTGTGTGCATGTACGTCTACTGCCGCAGAAAGTTGAGAGAGGAGGTCTGCGTTTCCTGAAACCATGCCCGTGGCCGTCACGGTGGCAGAGCTCGAACGCGTCGTCAAAATTTGTCCGTGTTTGCTTCCACTGTATCTCATCTCCTTCCTCCATTACATATCCTTGTCGCCTGCTTCACTTTTCGCTGCAATCATGCCAATATACGACCCCGACAAGTGGATAGAGCAGCTCAAACGATGTCAGCACCTCCAGGAAGCCGAAATGAAGAAACTTTGCGAACGTGTCCGTGCAATTCTCATGGAAGAGTCCAACATCCAGCCGGTCTCGAGTCCGGTCACCATATGCGGCGATATCCATGGCCAGTTCTGGGACTTGCTGGAACTCCTTCGGAAAGGCGGTGACGTTCCCGAGACAAGTTACATATTTATGGCACGTAGGTGTTCTTTTCGTTGTGTTATGCAATCGTTTATGCTTTCTAGGGTGATTTCGTGGACCGGGGGCACTACAGCTTGGAGACCGTCACATTACTACTCGCTCTGAAAGCAAGGTTGGCATAACTTGCTGATACAACATCCCTGTAATCTCATTGCTAAGCAAGATACCCCGATAAAGTGACTCTTCTACGAGGGAACCATGAAAGTAGGCAGATCACGCAGGTGTATGGATTTTACGGTACGCCAATATTGCTTCATGACTACGCGGCCTTATCGTTCAGTAGACGAATGTCAACAAAAGTACGGAAGCGCAACAGTATGGAAAGCTTGTTGTGGAGTCTTTGACTATCTCAACCTGGCAGCCGTTCGTTTTCTCCCTCTCACTGTAGTCTTCGAGTGCACCTAACCGCCAGTAGATTATCGATGGTGAAACGTTGTGTGTACATGGCGGTCTATCTCCCGACATCAGAACTTTAGACCAAATTCGGCTTCTTTCCCGAGCACAGGAAATACCGCATGAAGGCGCCTTCTGTGGTAAACGCTCTTTTCGATCGACAACCTAACGCTATCTCATCGTATCACACTAGACTTAATGTGGTCAGATCCTGACGACGTGGATAATTGGGCTGTAAGTCCTCGAGGAGCTGGGTGGTTATTTGGAGGCTTGGTGGCACAAGAGGTCAGTGACATGCGTCATTCGTGTTTCCCTTTTCTTACGGACGTTCACCAGTTTAATCACGTCAACGACCTCAAATTGATCGCCCGAGCTCATCAACTCGTTCAGGAAGGCTACAAGCACATGTTCGACCAACAACTCGTTACCGTTTGGTCAGCACCAAATTATTGTTACCGGTGTGGAAATCTGGCTTCAATCATGACGGTTCACGAAAACGGAGAGAAGTCGTTCACGGTGTATGGTCCAGCAGAAGAAAATGCACGAGACAAAGGCATGACAACACGACGGATGGTGCGTTTATCTGTGATCCACTGGGCCTTGGCAATTCAACATTTCTTTCAGAATACTAATATTCAGTATTTTGTATAATACAAACACAGTTATCTCTTGCAACGGGCTACGAAGTATGAATGAGTTTGGAGCTATCAACATAGAAGAAGTCCATGAGCTTCTCCAAACCCTTATTACCGCCCAACCTGGCTATCTCGACTCGTACTTTCTTATCGAGCAAGTCCATTACGCTGAGAGTGTAGTCGAATGACTTTGTGTGATCCTTGAGATATGATATAACGTGGTATTTCAACGTTGGAGTGGTGGGACGCTTCTGCAGTACATCTGATAATGTTGATGGGTACTTTGAATTGACAAGCGCGACACAATGACAACGTACTGAGGACTTGTCTGTTTGTGGTGTCTGAATTGATACCATGAACGATGGGGAAGGAGAATTTCCCCTCCGTGAGGTCTTCAGCGAAACCTTTGTTGGTACTGTACTGCTAGCGCAATCAACCATAGTAGGGAAGGATGCCTAAAGAATAGCACACCTCAGGGCTCTGCAGATTTAGAAGGTCATCACGAATTTGAAAATAGACACCGATGAGGTTGACCAGAGGAACATAGTCACTTGAAACGTGCCAATGAGCGCTCAAAGCAATACTTTGGGGAGGGGCTTACACGTCAATATTGGTAGTTGCACAAGCCATCATCAACTTGATGCCTATTCGCAGGAGACCACCGGTCTCTAGAAGATGCTCAGCTCCACGTCAATCCAGTCACTAAATGTTATTCACTATTGTTGACCATTCCGATGTAATCTTCCTCGGTGGGACATCTCAGAGAGTCTCTCCACTGCAACTCGAGACCTTGACCACGATGTAAAGACAAGAGTTCAGCTGGCAGGAAGTTGAATCAACGGCCATGCAGGATGCAGAATATTAACATACCCGTAACAATTGCATCCAGATCAACACCTCTCGACGTCCCGAAATTTCCAGCTCTTCGAAGCGCATGGAGTTCCTCGTAAGCGAGGAAGTAAACATAATTTGCGGTATTTATCGTTTGGGGAATTCCATAAATTTTATGGGCCACTGAGGAGAAGGTGAGCCGGACCAATGGTGTAAAGTGCCGAAATGGCCCTACCAGGTCGGCCCCTTCTTAATTGAGAGTCATCTTCAATATCATCTACCCTAGCTATGGGTCACGAAACGTCGCATACCGATAAGCTCAAACGTACAGCAAACTGGCGTTGTGCAGCATATTTACTATGTGAGAAATGACTTTGGTCTTTTCCTCGGGAACATTGAGCCAAAGGTTGAATGCCTCGATCAGTCTGCTACGCATGTCTTTTCCAGGATTTGAAGTAATGAACGCAAATGGTTCCAACAGCTCCTGCGTATCCATTGAGATCAGGATTAATCGAACTGTCCAGAACGGCTCACGGTTTCATGTCGGTCTGACCATGAAGGCACAGTGGATAGCCTCTCCAAGAGATCTTCGTAAATCGAAAGAGACATGTTGGTCGTACAAGTCAAAGAACGTTTTATATCACCGCTTACAAATGTCGAGGCACGCATGATTGCCGCTACACTCCCCCCACAGCTCATTCAACTAAAATGGTAGATGGGATGCAAATCGTTCATATGCGGCAGGGTGAAAAGTGTACAAGGAGCATAGAAATATAATATTTCGACCTTATGCCTTGCCCGCAGCAGCAGCCGCCTTTGCATCCTCTGCAGCAGCGACAGCCGGGTTGACCTTTTTGCCATCCTTCCACCGGACTCGTGGGGGAGGGGCACGGTTGCGACGGCCCTCGCGAGACCGCACACGGACGACTATGTCACAGAGAATCAGTCAAGAATACCCACAACGCTAGTACTCGATAAAGACTCACCGTGGGAGTGGATAGCACACGACACACAGTAACAGATTTTAATGTAGAGCTTAGGAATAGCGTATTCTGCAAAAAAAAAAAAACAGTGAGAAAGGTATACGAGCAATAAAGGCACCACTTCGCACCTGGGTAAACGCTAGCCTCACTAATATCCCGCACAGCGGCACTCTCGACCATGTTCCTCACAGTGAATCGCTTGATAGCCTTATCCTTGGCGACGCAGCGAGAACAGTTGGAGCAACGCATGAAGGTGGTGTGGCCACGGCCCTTCTTGTTGCGACCACCATTTCTTCTTTTCTTGGTCTGCAGAACGAAATCGCGTCAGTTCGCCATCCTCATCCTGTTAGCAAAGCTCGCATCCAGCCCAATTCGCGACCCAACGGGCTCGCATTCATGGGCAGGACGTCCAAAATGTGTCCAGACGCTGAATGCTCACCATTTTAGTTGTCGGGCGTCTTGAGACTGAGAGTGGACGATGGGCCTAGCGCTGTCGAACGAATCCTTGGTTGCTGACCTCAAAATTCTCACGACTTCGGTATTTTCCGGATAGCGGCCCGAGCTCCATTATTTTGTTTGAATATACTTTTCCACTCACCCTTCGCCTTGTCCCGAGTCGACCAATCTTCACCACGTGTAATACGACATGGACAGCGACAACGAAGTCTACGAAAATGCACCAGAAACCAAGCGGTTCAAGGCAAGAAGACCAGACACCCTTTTTCTATCATTCTAACCAAGTTTCTTGTTTTCAGTACCAGTCGTACAGTAGGAGCCTCAAAGATGTCCATCTTCCTTCAGCTCTAGAACAATCAAAAAAGGACCACGACTTTGAAGCGCGTCTCTATTTATTTTGTCTAAAACCTTTCGTTTAACAGTACGACCAGGACTCCGAGTCTCACTTCCGAGATGCTTTGTCCCACTGGAGACAACTGAACCTCTCTCCTTCCTTCATCGGTTTTGCGAATAAGGCGTCGTCGCTGTCTGCTTCCCTTCCGCTTCTCCTTCACAACTGGCGCGAGGTTGTCGGATTGTGGATTTCAGCTTTAAAGAGCTCCGATGACGAGGGATTTAAAGCTCTTTTGGAGTGCGTGCTGCGACTTTCTACTCGTTTTTCGCGACTAAAACTTGTTTAGCCTTCTTCAAAAGATGATTATCGACCTTCGATCTACATTGTCACCTGCGTATACCGATATCCTAAGGGAGCTGCTCGCGCTTCTCCCTCGATCCATACCTGCGGAAGCTCTGACGAGTTTGCTGTCGACCTTCTCCCTCATCTTCAAGCATCTTCTTGTCTCATCAACAGACCCGAACTTACTCGAACAGACCTGGACAGTTATGCGTAATATTTTACCCAAATGTCTCCCAGAAATACAGAGGGCTATGGCTGAGGTGTTGGGTGCTCTTTTAAGGAGACTAAAAGTCCCATTACGGGAGAAAATAGCAGTACTTGTAGCCACCGATGTTACAGGAATTGACGACGCGGTAGCGTGGCTATTTGTTTGCGCGTGCAAGGTGCGTTCTCATAGCTTGCAATGAATTGTTCACTTACCTCGGTCTTTCTAGTCTGTGTCACAAACCCTGCACACGGCTACCCAGTCCATCATAAAGCCATTATTAGCGTTCCACATGTCATGCGATATCGCTGAGCCTACGTATACACTACTTCGTCGCATCCTGACAGCCCTGATACATCATGTCAAAAATAGCGAGAAATTCTCACCCATCGGCGATCTACTCGTCTCTACCTTCACAGATTTCATGTCGGAGCAGAATGCAGATAATTCTGAAGGGCGTCAACGTGTCATTGAAATATTGTCTGTGTCGTGCTCAGTACGACAAGGATCTCGACATACAGGTAAGTTACCCTCCCCTACTTAAAGTCACCATCATCGTAACATCGCTCCAGAGAAACACCTGTCACAGCTATTGACAGCAGCAAATTCGATACCAATTACTGAGGCAGTCCGACCCTCTTTACTGAAGCTATCCGCAGCGGTGCTAACAGCTGGTGATATGGCCCTATCAATGGGACTCGGACGTCGATTCTTGGAGCATTGTTGGGACCATCCAGTGTTTGCTATAGAGCTGCATGGAGCACTTGCCGATCTTGGCTGGGGAGGATGGAAGATGATCGCGCTACCCACGTTGTTGAAGAAGACGCCTCTTCTTTTGGAGAACGAGCCCGTTCGCACATTACAGCTTCTGGCTTCCGTGCACAAGGAGAAAAGGTTGGGTGAAATCGATCTGGTGTGGAAGCAACGCGTCGAACAATGGGTGAAGAACAGACTCCAAAATTGGGTTATGTCTCGAGAATCAGTAAGTCTTCCAACTCTCAGTCTTCTTAAAGACTTCCTTTTCATGGTTTCGTAGGCTTTAGAGCTGCAGTTTATCGTCATCCTTTCTGGATACTTATCTGCTGAGGTTACCCCTCTTATTATCAGTATTGTTGACTCCTTATGTAACGCCGATCCCGAGCCAGACACCCGAAGTGATAGCTTTCCGTCGCCGTCTTGGGTCCTTGGGCTATGCCTACCATATCTGTCAAAAAGACCACAAGAGGAACTGAGAGATCGTGTTCAAATGAAGGCGTGGACACAAAAGTGTGTGGCCAAGTGGTATTGGTCTCCTAGTGTCGTCAGTGGCCTCGTTTCCTTTACCAACCAAAGGTAAAGTACAAAGTCTATTTAGTGGACTATTTCTCATGTGTTGTCTCACTATAGTGATGGGGATGCTGCCGACTTCGAAGAATTGTATCCTTTTCTGCGAAAATCGATTCTCTCGCACGACTTACAACTCCGCTTGAATGCGTTGCGTCTTCTTGCGTCTCCTGCAATCAAAGTTCCTGATACTGTCCTGGAGGTCGTCAAACGCTGCCTTCAAAGTGAAGAAGTGTCGTTGGACGTTCAGGGCCTCCGAGAACGCGTTTTACGTATGGGTAGAGTAGGGCAGATTGTGACAGATGGAAATAGCGGACCAGACTTGTGCGTTCGGTGGCTAGTAGGTGTGTACCGACCAATATATTTTGGCATGAATTGCTGGCTGATATTTCTCCCTTCAGCTCAGTTAAAGGTTAACCTTCGGCCACTCTGGTCGCCGGCGGCCGGCGCAATAGCATCTCTAACTCAGCAATTTGGTGGCGATGTATGGAGTATTCTATTTAAAGAAGTTCAGGAAGTTTCTCAGCCAGACTATTGGGATAATATAAAGTCTTCAAAGGATGATGAACATGAGGGAGGTGACGATATATGGGAAGAGGAACGGTCGTGGAGAGATCCTAGTGCTCATAAGTTCAGATTATCAGTGTATCAGTGGTCGAGCAGCTCTCTGATTCCTTCGAAATCATCACAAGTACGTGTCGGTATTTTATCAGCGTTTTCCATACTTATCTCTGCGAAGTCTTCGACAGTTCGTGAAAACTTAGATGTCCGTTCCTACGAGACACAGCTCGTGACAACATTAGGACAGTGCTCTTCGCTTGCTGAAAAGCACAACCACGATCTCATCTCGTACTTCTTGTCCATCATCGACGCCGACTCCAAGTCCAAGTTGCCACGACAGAAGCTCGCTCTCTGGCTAACTTTGTTCTCAAAATTCACTAATCCTAAAGCCCTCTATGCAACCGATAAACTCCGAGACCTCTATTTCTCCCTTCTGTCACACCCCGATCGTTCCCTCCAAACTGTCGTGCTATCGTGCATTTTGAACTACAAATCGCGTTCACTTTCTTTGTATGAAGACAAGCTTCGACTCCTGTTGGATGATACGCAGTGGCGCGATGAACTTACCTCGCTCAGTCTCGCCGAGATTGAACCTCATGACCGTCGCGAGGTTATAGACGTAGTTGTGAGGTTACTCTTTGGAATAATGCTCGAGAATAGGGGCCGATCGCGGGGTTATGACCGTCGGACTACAATTTTGGGAGTGCTAGATGGTTGCACTGAAGAGGAGCTAGGATTACTGGTAGATCTGATGGTGAAGCCATTCATCGCCGACAGGCATTCTCATCAAGGGGAGATGTTCACTGTCCATTCCGTGGGACAGGTGTTGGAGAAACAGCAGATGGGATTTTTGACCCTTCTCGGCGACCTGTTGAAAATTTTGGGACCGCGGTTGATATCATATTGGCCTGCTTTGCTGGGCACTACGATCAATATCGTGAGCGGCGCTCAGACAAAGTTGTCCTGTTCCAATCAAGTAGCCGATAATTCCGACGATGAAGTCGATGATCAGGACGAGAAAGCTGTAGATGGTTTATCGGTGGTGAAGGCGACCCGGGCTATACGACAACTTGGAATCAAACGCTTTTCCGATTTCTTCCAATGTCCAATATCGTTCAACTTTGAACCATATCTGCACGCATCATTTAATTCATTCATTTCACCGCGGATACCGTTACTTGACAAGGAAAATACCCAATCTCCTTCCGCTCTTCTGGATCTTTTCTTCATATGGTCCAAGTCTTTCGATCATGCAATGACCCTTGTTCGTCACGACACACAGCTCTTACCACAGATATACAACTGTCTCATAGCTACCAATGTGAAACCGGCGGTCACGTCCAGAATCCTCGATATTATTGAAAGGCTTCTGTCTCTCTCTACGGAAGAGCCGGCTATCCTTGAGTCGATCCTCAAGCCCCATCTGCCCCTTCTACTCACCAATATGTCAATACTGATTGAACGCAAGAAAGGCTCCGAAGACCCGCTGGCGGAAAGACAAATCACTGTTCTTTCTCAGCTTGCGCCCTACTCGACCAACGCTGAAGAAGCCAAAATGCTGCTCCATCTTTTTTCCCCCTCCCTTCGCAAATCATCCAGAGTGGTTCCTGAGAAAGTCAAGACTGACCTGCTCACTATTATCAGCCATCTCATACCATTAGTCCCAGAACTAAAAGATAATTCCTCCACCGAATATTTCAAACTGTATGAGGCGCTGTCCCAAATGTTCCTGACTCTCCGATCTCGGAATGCCCGAGTCAGACTTGTGGCCGCGTTTCAGAGTCTCGTAGCAGGCAGCAGGACCTTACAAAGTTTCATAGGTCTATTGCAGTCATTAAACTCTTACTCAACAAAACGTTTGGACGAACCTGATTTTGACCGTCGTCTCAAGGCATTCGCTGAGTTGAACGACAGTGTATTTACTACCTTGTCTTCTGGTGATTGGGTTCCTTTCGTCTACCAGTCTCTCTACAGCATCCAGGATCCCGACGAGCTTGCTATACGCAATAGCGCAGCCCATTCTCTGCGGCATTTTATAGATCAGGTAGCCACCCGCGCACCCGATTTTGTTGCCTCGTTTTCGCGAATCCTGTTTCCCGGCTTAAAACACAGTCTCAGGTCGAAGAACGAGTTAGTTCGGGCTGAGGTTTTGGGTGTGTTGGCGTACACCGTCACGACATGTGGCGATAATGCTGCTGTGCAGGATATGCGGATATTATTAGCAAGTGGTGACGAAGAAGCCAATTTTTTCAACAACATCCAACATGTCCAGATTCATCGAAGGTCTAGAGCTCTTCGACGCCTAGCCGACCAGTGCGATGAGCACCCCCCTCGCAACAGCACACTCTCAGGCATTCTCATTCCATTAATTGCACACTACCTTGTGCCTACTTCACCTTCGAACCATCATCTGGTAAACGATGCTATTACGGCGGTTGGCCGACTGGCAAAGCACTTGGCGTGGGGTGCATACTATGCCCTCATTCAGTCCTATATGCGTCTCTCCAAAGCCAGAGATGAGTCTGAGAAGACCTACGTTCGCACCCTCGTTGCCCTTCTCGATAACTTCCATTTTTCGATGGACGAACAAGCGATGTCAGAAGGCATTGAGGACGATGAGGCCAGTGAAGAGGGGCCCCCCAATAGTTCGACACCTTTGAAAAATACCTCTCGAATCTCTGATGCCGTCAATAACCGCCTCCTTCCTGATCTCCTGAAATTCATTGAATCTCGCGACTCCACTACAGAGGACATTACACGTATCCCAATCTCCATTGGTATCGCAAAGGTGGCTTTGCACCTTCCTCTCTCTCTGGGTGAGCCTCAGATAACTAGGCTTCTCACCGTGACTTGCCAGATCCTTCGCAGCAAGTCTCAGGAGACGCGTGATGCAACGCGTGATGCTCTCGCTCGCATATCAGTAACACTAGGACCCAAATATCTTTCTCTGATAATCCAAGAGCTGCGTGGCGCACTTTTGAGAGGACCTCACTTGCACATCCTTTCCTATACGACACACGCGCTCCTCGTACATGTCACATCACCAGAGCATGCGTCTGTCTTTCATACACTAGATGATTGTGTGAACGGCGTTGCCCATATCTCCGCTGAAGTCATATTTGGTGAATCGGGAAAGGATGTTCGCGCTGAGGACTTCAAGACAAAAATGCGAGAAGTGCGTGGGTCGTCGTCCAAAGGCCTGGATTCGTTTTCGATATTGGCCAAATACGTCACGCCGCCTTATATCAGCGGCCTCCTTTCCCCATTGCGCTCCATCATGAGAGAAACAGAATCGGCGAAGGTGATGCAGCTGGTCGATGAAGTTATCAAACGCATTACGACCAGCCTCAATATGAATACGCACTTAATACCGACCGAACTTTTGTTACTCAGCCACACTCTCATTACTCAGAACGCTCAATTCCTCCAAGAAGCTCCTTCACGTAAAAAATTCAAAGCCAAGATTAAGGACGATATCGTTGTTCAGCTGAAGCGGCAGGTTACGATCGAGAATGATCATTATAGCAGTAATTCCTATCGGTAAGTTACCTTGATAAAGTGCGACAGTTTCTAATACACATTTGTTCCCCAGCTTTGTTGTCTTTGGGCTTGAATTGTTCAACACCGCGTTGCGATGGAACCGTTTTGATTTCAGGGACACGGGTATAATATCAAGGCTTGAGTCGATGGTCGTGACGATTGGGAATACTCTATATTCGACCAGTTCTCCCGTCTTGATGTCAGGAGTCAGATGTGTGGCCGGCTTGGTCAAATGTCCCCTGAAATCCATGGACAAATCACTTCCGGTTTTCATCAAGCAGATACTAGATATCGTCCGGTTAGCTGGCAACACAGAGTCAGAGCTTGTCCAAGTGGCTTTGAAGTCTTTGGCCACCATCATACGTGATAGGCCGGCTGTAGATGTGAAAGAAAAGGATCTCATATTTTTGTTGGAAGTTCTTTCTCCGGATCTCGAGGAACCTTCTCGGCAAGCAACGGTGTTCACTCTGCTTCGCGCTATAGTGTCTCGAAAATTCGTGGTGCCCGAGATCTATGATCTTATGGAGAAGGTATCGGAAACGATGGTGGCTAGTCAATCCCCCCAGGTCCAAGAACTTTGCCGAGGCGTGCTTCTCCAGTTTTTGCTGGACTATCCACAGGGAAAAGGGAGACTGCGAAACCAAATGACATTCCTTGCCAAGAATCTTTCCTATGTTCACGAAAGCGGAAGGAAATCTGTCTTGGAACTTCTAGGTGCCGTCGTAACAAAGTTTCAATCCATGTTGGTGTGGGAGTATGCTGACCTACTTTTCGTTGCGCTTGTAATGGTCATTGCCAATGATGACTCTGCGAAGTGCACCGAAATGGCTGCCCAACTCATCAAGTCGCTTTTAGGACGACTGGACGATGAGCATCGTGAGGTCATTCTATCACATCTTCATGCATGGGCCTCCCAGGAATCGCAACCTCGCCTTACACAGGTTTCTTCCCAAGTATACGGTCTCTTTGTGGATGCATTGCAGGCCGCGGCTTCACGCCACGTTCCAGCCATATTGCAGGATGCAAATCTATCTTTGCAGAGGTCGGCCCAGATGCTTTTACTTGCAGAGATTAACAATGATGCAGTGGAAGTGGACTTTGATTGGCAGACACCATATCACTCCTTGGTTGTGATCTCGAAAGTCATCCACGTCTTTCCCGATCTGACTTCGCAATCCGACACCGCTTCGTGGCAAAGCATAGTGACACTTCTTCTCTTCCCTCATTCCTGGGTCAGGACTGCATCCTGTCGTCTATTAGGATCCCTCTTGGCGACCAGCCCCGTCCGCGCTCCATTGGACTCCGATACCTTCTCGGCATTTTCAAAGTCTGGCATGATCGACATATCAAAGAAACTGTGTCTCCAACTAAAAGGCCAGCATCTAGATGAGCCCCTGAGCCTGCAGTTGGTGAAGAATCTATTTTATATCGGAAAATGCTTCGCTCTATCGACCTCAGTTCCTCCGGAGACCGCAGAAGACGAGTCCATAGTCGAGCTGGATGAAGCCGAAGATCCAGAAGAGACGCCGAAACAAGACAACCCTTTACCATGGTTGTTTTCGAAGCTTTCATATCAGGTCAGATCTGCGCATATTACTCGCCGAAACAGACACAACCAGGTACCTGACTATAGCATCTTCATGTAATTCTATTCTCGGCTAACAAATTTTGTTTAGCCCAATTGGCACCACCAACCTCTGTCCGTCCTTAGGTGGTTCGCTGCGATGGCCTCTTTCTTGGAACCCGAAAGACTCGAGATGTACTTGGTGCATATCCTGTCGCCTGTGTATAGAATCATCGAAGATGACACAATTCGTGATCAACAAATGGGTATTTCTTATGTTCATATTCCTTCGACGTGAAATTAACTTCAGGTTCAGACGAATTGAAAACTCTAGCTACGGAGTTGCAGGATCTTGTTCAGTCCAGAGTGAGCCCCGCTGCATTTTCGACGATATACAACCAAATACGACAAGGTCTCTTGGGTGTTCGAAGAGAACGGAAGGCCGTGAAAGCCTTGCAGGTGGCTACTAATCCTGAGATGGCATCAAAGCGGAAGCTTCAAAAGAATATCATGAAGAAGGACAGTCGCAAGAGGAAGGGCGACATGTTTTCGTAAGTCACATTCAGGTCTGCGGTGAATGGCTTTATTTGAAACACTTCTTTTCAGCGATGGGAAAGGAAAAATAAAACGGCATCGTTCATAGCAAGGTTGTATAGGACTATACTTTCTTGAGCACTGTATCTTAGTTCTTCTCGTGCGAGTTGTTAATTAGTCGAGCGGAAAAATCTCATACGGAGGCTGAATTCAGATTAATGCCAGTGATTCAAATTTACGTAAAGCTCGATCGTTGTAATGGGTAAAAAAGAACTCTCAGAAAACCAAGAAAGCAACTATTAAGGCATATATAAAAGATGCAGATGAAATGCAGGGTGGGCATGCAGAAAATTCGGAGGTTAAAACTGTTATAGTCACGATACCAGAGGGGAGATGCTTTATTTTCACCCACGGCTGCCGGTGTTTGTGGGAGAACAGTGCATACCCAATGTACGACCGAGATCTTCGCACATAGTGGCTTTAGCAGCCCTAAAAGCTTCAAGTAGGTGCAGCGCGAAAACACCACCTATCGTTCCATCTGTCCGTGATGCCTCCCATGCAAGTTGAAAGTCGCTACAGGCCGAAAGAATAACTTGGGAGGCCATATCTGGCTGCCAATTCTGCACAAGAAAGGAAGGATGATCAGGGAACCTCATACTCAAGCTCTCATCCGAAGCTTGAGGAATCTTACGTGCAGGCATCGTGCTTGAGGATAGGGACTGGAACTTCCTAGTACCATCATATAGGGATATGCTCAATGCACCCTTCATGTAAGAACAATCCAAAATCACAGTGATTCTATCACCTTTGGAATGATGAATCTCAGAGAAGATCATGTTCAATTCTCTGTCACTGATATCAAGGACAGGCTTGCCTGCAGCGTCGGTGATATTGTGGTCCATATGACATAGGCTGTCGAGGGTTCAGCCATACGCCCGTTGATCGGGTTATTGGTCCGTTCATTCTAAATTTACTTACAAGTTCATACATTTCTGCTCGATCGTTTCCATACTTCCGTCCATTTTCTTTCGTTCACACCTCAGTCTTTTACCACCATGATGAGTGAAGACTGAGGTGCATATTTTACTTACATTGCTACTCACTGATTACTTATCTGTTGAGATTCAGTTTTCATGGCTTTAATATTGTATTCTATTTATATATATTTTACTGCTTACCTTATACTTTGACATTTTCACATCTTATTGACTTGACTTGGAACCACCACTGTCCTTACTCTATACAATGAAATATACTCTTCCTTTGAGTCAAATACATCTTCCTCTGAATCACCAGCATCTGAATTCCAACATTATCATACTGGTAGATTGTTGTTCATTGACAGGTTATGCAGCCCCATTGTCTCACTCTGTAGATTCAGATCTTTACAACAAGCACTTGTATCTAATCCAAAGACTCAAAATCCAAACAGCAACCTCTTGGATCTAACTTTGGCTCTTATATTGACTCACAGAAAACTTTCTTTGAAACTCCTATCTTCTATAAAATTTTTCCAACATGTCATCAGGAAATGCCTCCTCAACCCAAATCCTACTGTTCAAACTTGATGAAAATGAGAAATTTAGTGGAGAAAACTGGACTGCATTCAAAATGATAATGATGGCCAAAAAAAGACCATAAGGATTAATCAACTACTGGGAAAATCATATAATAGTATCAGGACCCTCTCTACTACCTACCCAAACTACTGGCCTCACCAGCCTTACTCTCAATGAATACAAATATGCACAAAGAGAGAGCTGTGCTCTTTCTTCCATTATTTGTAATGTGACAGACATCTTTGGCTTTAGGCTCAACACTCAAGATACATCCCATACAGCTTAGACAAAACTGAAGACACAGTATGATGCTCATTCAGATCTCATATGAAACTATCAGGAGAAAATCCTCTGAGTGAATGTCTATGAAGAAGGAGACAAGATATCAGGTGATAGAGGCCATATCAAAAAGATGAGACATTTACTGAAGGAAGCCAATGATGCAGGAGCCACCATAAGAGAAGAAACATTTACCATCATTCTCCTTGATTCCTTTTCTGAATCATAGGATCCTGTTGTCAGTATTTTACATGGTGAAAATGACTTGATGATAGTTATTGCTCATCTTGCTGCACATGGAGAACAGTTAGAGGATGATTGATGACCAAATCCAACATGCTGAAAAGGTATGGGTGGCTAAAGAGATGAACATATTAGACTTGTCAAAACTTTTCAGTGACTCTGAAGCTAATACTCACTTCATGAAACAGAGAGTTGTTTTCTCAGCCTATGTCCTGCTCATGAATATCACTGGTGGTTTGTCAAAGGATAGTGTGACCTTTAAGATCAAAGAAATAGAGACTGTGGCAAGAAAAGTGTTGATAAATAGGATTGAAAATGTGATAAAACTCCAAAGAGCCCTCCATTGCTCAGATATCTCAGTGAACTTAATTTTAGTCAGTCAACTGAACAAGGATGGGTGGAAAGTCATATATAGAGAGGGAAAAGTAATGTTCATTGATTCAAACAGCATTCCCCAATTTGATGGTGCACTTATTGAGGATCTGTATGCTATAAATGATACTCTGATCCATCAAGATTGTCACATCACTTTAATGGCAGTCTCTTGATGTTGCAACCTCTTTAAAAGTGTGGCACATGCATTTGGTCTGTCACAGCATGGATCATATCAAAGACATGATATAAAAGGATCTAGTCAATAGATTGAACATAAAACCTGACCCAAAGCTGTCAGAGAAATGCAAACCTTGCATCTTGGAGAATCCAAAATAGAGGCTGTTTGACATGATAGTTGTCCCAGCAAGCCAAGTCCTTGAATTAGTTGTCATAGATATCTGGGGCCTAGCCAGGGTCTAATCAATTAGTGGTGCAAAATATGCTATAGGCTTCATGGATGACATGTCTTCTAAATGTGAGGTATTCTTCCTCCAAAATAAAAGATCTGAAATGACTCTATCAGCTCTCAATTCATATACTATAGTTACTGAGTGACAAACCAGCCAGGATCTGCTGTGATAATGAGTTTGACTGCCAATTATAGTGAGACTGAACAGCTGCTAGATGGATCTTAATTAAACCAACAGCCTCATACTCTTTCACTGCCAATGGAATGGCAGAGAGAACCTTCAGAATCATCTTTAGCTTGGTATGAATCATGCTTATTGAAACAGGCCTGTCAATGAGTTGGTGGGCAGAAGCATGTGACTTTGCAATAAAGGTTGAAAACCTACTATCAATGTCAAGACACCCAGGCAAAATTCCTGAGAAAGTATGATCACAGAAATGTCAGTCAGTTGGATACTCATGAGTGTGGGGGAGCCTGTGTTATATGAAACTTCCTAAGGTGAAGAGAGAGAGTAAATTGGCTCCACAAAGCTAAAAAGGATGTATAATCAGATTGGCAGGGCATGGAACATATCAAATCCTACTAGAAGGACCAGGGAACTATATCATTATATCATGTGATGTCATCTTTGAAGAGCTTATTCCTACTTGGATCCTGTCTCTTCAGAGAAAGATCATTGAGGACTTACTCAATAGTTCAGAGGCAACAGTCTGAATAGGCAATCCTCCTTCTTTTCTAAGACACCAATCCTATATTCCAACTCTCCAGAATTCAAATGACAATCCCACAGCATTGTTAGGCTTCCACTAACACTCACAAATCTCTAGCACCACTTCCACCAGAGTCCAATTCTAGATGCTGAGTCTGAGTCTGATTTTGATATAAAGTATGATGAGGATGATGAGATAAGCTATAAGGATTTCACAGAGAGGGTTGAAGGGTTGTGGCTAGTAGATATAGTCTGCTATTGTGGCAAGAGTATTTGCACCAGATAGTCAGAGAGTGTAGTAGGTGTATTAAACCTTAGCTCAAGACTGAGATACATCAGTGTGTACTACTGTCTTATATACTGTCTGAAGAACTCTATGCCCTATAGATGACTATTGTCTGCTTTCCATGGCCTCTGCTCATTGTCTGGGATAACAATGACTATGCTCTTGCTTTTGTTTGTTATTGTTGCTCTGCTATACCATTGCTATGGTGAGTTTTCCATATGCCACAGTTTCTATTATGTTCCAGATGTGGGACAGTGATAGTTACCACATTGTTCCTTGTCATCTTATTGTGCATCAATGAATAAAGTGTAGCCATGGTGTCATCATGTTTTCATCATCTTTTGTAAGGTTGGCCTGAGGTTGGAATTGGTAAGCATCTGCTTACTAAGCATTGGCAGGTCATGATTTAGAGGCAAAAATCATGACATTATCTCTCTCTCAAGGCAATTGTCCTTGATTGCTCAGAGCAGCCCAGGAAAGAGAGATCATGCTTCATTCTTGCCATTAATTTCAGTGGAGACATCATTGGTGCAGTTAAGAAAATGGGGTTGATCAACAAAGATTCCAGTAGCTAGGTTATCTTCCTCCTTCCATATAAATAGCTTTTTGCATTCAAAGAGGGTTCAGTCTTTTCTGAAGGGCAATCATCACATATGAATATAGTCTGACTTGTCAAACATTAGTCAATCCAATGAGGCAAAGTTGACAGCTGCCAGAGAATTTTGGTGTGTCTAATATTTGGTGATGAGGGTCTTTGCATGTGGAAGGTCTTTTTCCATATACCATTGGTTTTCCTCATTGCCATACCTCTTGAAATAGACTAAAAACCATCATTTTCTGTACCAAATCTTATCATCAAGAATGACATCAATTTTATATTTATCATCAACCGCTATAGGTTTAGGTGATGGTGGTTTCTGCTGATTAGGGAATTCAGCCTGTTGGAATAGTTTGAACAAGGCTTTATTAAAGACCAGATGGATTTTTCAAGTCTTCAAAATAGATAATTCATATGCTTCATCACCTACTTTCTTTGTGATCTTAAAAGGCCCTTCATATTTGTCATTCAGCTTTTTCATGGTCCTGTCTGTCTTTAGGTTTTTCATGTCTAGCATGACTTGATCTCCTGGTTGATACTCTTTTCTTGGTGCCCTTTTCTTGTCATATTGTTTCTTCATCAAGTCTGCTGCTTTTAGGAGTGCTTGTTCTGTCTCATCATGGATCTTCTTCATTCAGCAGCAAAATCTTTTGCTCAGGGTACTTGACTGTCTCTTTATGAGGGGTTCATTCCAGTGTTAGAGTGTACACCAGTGTTCACAAAGAATGGGCTAAAGCCTGTGGTGGAGTTTTCTCAGTTGTTGTAAGCAAATCCTGCTAAGAGAAGCCATTCTGCCTAGTCATTCTGCTGGTGATTGATGAATATTCACAAATATTTTTCAATCTCTTGATTGACCCTCTCTGTTTGTCTATCTGTTTGGGACTGGTATGCTGTCAATGAATTTCCAGTGATTCTGAGTAGCTTATACAGCTCTTTTATGAACTGTGAGATGAATTGTGGGTCTCAGTCTGAGATAATTTTGTCTGGAAGGCCATGGTGGGCATATACATGGTCTCAAAAAAGTCATGCTCACTCTTCTGCATTCAAACTTATATTAGTGGTGATAGAAATAAGTTCTTTAGAAAATCAATCCACAATGGCTAGGATAACATTATATCCTTTGGACTCAGAAAGAGGGCCTATCATATCTACCAAAATCACCTTCCATTTGTCTGAAGGGATCTCATTGTAGTGTAATGGTGTTGCTCACTTCTGAGTGCTAGCTTTAGTTTTTTGGCATATTTTGCACTCTTTGACATAGGCTTCTATCAATTTTTAAAGATTAGGCCACTAATAGTTCCAGGTGATCAGCTCCTGTGTTTTTGCAATCTCTGAGTGTCCTGCTGTTGGGTAGTCATAGCAGGTGGCTATGATTTCCCCTTGTAGCTTTTTGCTTACTGAGATGTACAATCAGTTGTGAAAATTGAGTACCCTCTCCTCAAGGGTCCACTCTTCCTCTTCATTGTCAATGGCCAACTGTACTGAGTCCTCTGTGAATTTCTTTTCCCTTTGCATTTTTTTCAAGATTTCAGAGGCAGTTGAAAAGATCATGGCATTCATATAGAACATTTCTGGCTTGAGTACTACCATTTCTTCATTATCCTTTTCTCTTTGGTCATGGTCTGCCCTTTGGCTGAGTAGGTCTGCATTTTTGTTGGCAGCATTCAGCTTATGATGGAGGCTAAAGTGATATTTGGCCAATTCTGTTACTCATTATGCTTATCATCAATTCAGT